CCCAGAATAAACATAGGTTAGTGTCGGTCAAAGAGTGAACCGCGCATGTTCTCCTTACGAAAGTGAAATTCCTACACGAATCCAAGAGACTCAGATTCGATAAGTCCGCTACCGATCCGACCGAAACAGTTACATGGTGCCGTGGCCCAGGATCGCAAGCTTATCACCGAAACGTCTCTTCCCGAGTGTACCACGTTCCTGTCGTCCGATACAGCTACGCCTCGACCATGAACGAAGAAGAAACCAAGAGAAGGCTGAAAACCTTGCGACAGTCCCGAACAATCCGCAGAAACAAGGCGATGGCCGAGTTGGAGGCAGTCACAGATCTCCACTCAGGTAACCCGACGTTCGCCGAGGGTCAGCGCCCGGAAGAACTCCTCATTCTCATGACTCAGCACGTTGAGCGTATCCGCGAGTTGGACGGCAAGATCGCCGACCTGGTGAGCGAAGACGCAGTCGACGCCGAGGCGACCGCTTCGGAAGAATTTCACATCGAGATCGAGCGGGGAATCGCTGCAATCAGCGCTGTGACCCAGGTCGGGACCGGCGACCTTGCGGCGCAGGCAGAGATGCCGACGTTCTACGGAACCCCGGAAGCCATGCGACACGTCCGATTCAGGCCCACGATGAACTCTACCATGAGCGCGCCACGTCAAATGCGCGAGGCGACCCAGGTCCCGGACAGTTCGCCACAGCCGGCCGCGCAAGTGGTATCGACGACAACCGCGCGCTTGCCTCGTGAGCTCGACATTTCTCCCGAGGTATTCGCAGGAGATCGCCTGAGGTACCGTGCCTTCATAACCCAGTTCAAATGCTTCGTTGGAAAGAGACCGGAGGCCACTCCGGCGGAAAAGCTGATGGTGCTCCGGAAATACGTGACCGGCGAGCCTAGGGACATCGTTCAGGCTCTCGAGCTGTCGGATGCAAATTACCAGATTGCTCTCGACCTACTGCATGAGAACTACGCCCGCACAGAAAGCGACAAGGAAAAAATCCTATCTGATCTCCGAAATCTTCCCCGAATCCCCCGATATAACGATTTGCCGGCCCTGCGTAAACTTCTTACTGTCCTGCAGGGGAACATCGCGACTCTCGCATCCAATGGGATTCCGCTCACCGACTTCGCGCTATCGCTGAGATCGGCGATAGAAGCAGCCCTACCGATTCGGTTGCGCCAAGACTACAAAGATTCTCGCCGTCTCGAGAAGAAGCTGCTCGCCCTCACCAGAGGTGGCAGCGGAGAGGGGTCTACGGCCGACGACTGCATCGAGACAGCTGACGAGGAAAGCACCACCGACGCAGACGACAGTGGCACATCTGTTTCAACGAGGGCTGCCAAAGAGGTCCGCAACCTGATCGACTTCTTGCGCGGTCGTGTCCGGGACTGGGAAGACAACCGATACTTAGATGAGCGGGCTTCGCCGGCTACAGCCGAGGTTCCTGAGCGCCCGGCGCAAGCGCGAGATGTGCGGCGCCGACCCAAGAGCACCATCGCGGGTGCTGCGTCGAGACCGTCTGGATCAGCTGGGACCGGTTACCGGCCGCGACCATGTTTGTTTTGCCGAACGGCTGATCATAACTCGTCCCGCTGTACGGCAAGCTTCTCCATCGCAAAACGCCGAGAGATCCTCACGGCTCAGCGGCGTTGCGAGAAGTGCTTCAGGACGAAACATGCGAACCCCGCCGACTGCCGCGGTCCGAAGGCGCCGTGTGCCTCGTGTGGCTCAAGACAGCACTATACTTCAATGCACGGACCTGATTCACCAAGACATGGTGATCAGACAGCCGCTGGAAGTGACGCGACGACCGCCGCGGTGGTCCAGACGGTGAGCGGGGCAAGCGCGGACACCGGCGCACTGCTGCTAACTGCTTGTGCCTATGTGATCAACGGTGGGGTCAAGATTCCTATCCGGGTGTTCATGGATCCCGGAAGTACGCTTACCGTGATGCTGCCTTCACTCCGAGCCATGCTCCGCGATCCTCCCGTTGGTGTAAGCAATCTCACCATTCAGGCTTTCGCCTCGACGCTGGCAAGTGAACGGATTCCGTTGTACAACATCCGCATCATGAATATTCGTGGAGGACCAACAATCGAGCTCTTCGCCCACGAGTACAAGTTCGACGTCGACCCGCCGAATACGACTACCAAGGCCGTCCTTCAGGCCCTCACCAATTTCGACCGAGAGAGTCCGCTCGCAGATAGAACATATGTGGGAGAGTGGTCACGCATGCCACCCGCCTTACTTATTGGAATGAATCAACTCCATAAGGTAATGCACAGAGAGCTTCCACAACCCGTCGTGGATGACATAACCGCACAGTCATCGAAGTTAGGGTGGCTCGTTGGGGGTTCGATTCCCCTCGGTTAGCACCACATAGAGGGGGAGGTGACGGCGACGCACATCGTCTGCTGCGCCGCCGGCCTGTCCGCCCGTCAGTCTCTGCAGATGTCATCGGCTGCCAGAGCTCTTGAGACGCTGTGGAGCTTGGAGGCGCTGGGTATATCGGACCCCCCTGCAGCGTCGCAGATGTCGGCGGACGAGGAGGAAGCTACTCGACAATTCAACAGCGAAATCTCCTTCGAAGATGGTCATTATGTGGTTTCGTTCCCGAAGCGACCGAGCATCTCTCAACTTCAGAACAATCTGGGCGTCGCTTCCCAACGTCTCGAGCGAAAATTATCGCAGCTCAGGCAATATCCCATGAAATATCGACGCTATCACGCGGAGGTGATGAAGTTCATCGACGACGGCTTCGCTGTAGAAGTTCGCGACTTCTCGCCTGGTTCCCGTTCGGAAGTCGATGGTTCATACTACATGCCTCATCACGAGGTTGTCGTGACGTCGGAAAAGGCGGAAAAATGGAGAATCGTGTTTGATTGCTCCGCAAAGCAGAAAGGCGCCTCGTCCCTCAATGATCATCTCTTACCGGGTCCGAACCTGAACCCCGACTTGGTGTCGCTTCTTCTGAATTTCCGACTGCACTCCGTGGCGGTGTCGGCCGACGTGAGCAAGGCCTACATGAGAATCGCCGTCGCACCGGCAGATCAGCCGCTGTTTCGATTCCTGTGGAAGGGACCCGACGCCGACTCCGTCCGGGCGTACCAGATGCAGCGAGTTACGTGGGGAGCGGCGTCATCCGGTTTTCTTCTGGCCGCGACGATCCGGCATCACTTACAGGGAGCCGACCCCGCGTCGCAGGATCTCTCGAAATGTCTATACGCGGATGATTTCTTGCAAAGCTTCGAAGACCCGCAACGCGCGATTCAGTTCACCGATAACATCCGTCGAACACTCAAGTCAGCGGGAATGAATCTCGCGAAGTGGAAGACAAATTCGAAGGAGGTGGACGACCACTTACTCAGCAATGGCGTCAAACCAGACGAATTCGATTCGACAGCGTCGGGGTTCTTGAAAGTTCTAGGCATCTCCTGGTGCCCGTCACAGGATGTCTTATTGTTTACGACACCTGCCTCGTTTGACGGTCTGGAACTCGAAAGCGCTCTGACAAAACGTCGAGTACTGAGCTTGGTGGCATCTATATTCGACCCTTTGGGTTGGCTCACCCCGTTCACCCTCCGTGCGAAAATGATCATCCAGCAACTTTGGGCCATCGACCTCAAGTGGAACGACACGATTCCGGACAGAATCCGTGAGGAGTTCCGCGCGTGGATGTCAGAGGTCGGATCCCTCAGCGAGATCAAACTGCGGCGACGGTACAGCAACATATCGAGAACGCCGAGCGCCTACCTGCTGCATTCGTTCGGAGATGCCTCGCAGACGGCGTATTCCTGCGCATCCTACATCGAAATACAATACTCGGATGGACCATCCGACTTCGCTCTCGTGATGACAAAATCAAGACTGGCTCCACGTGACTCACCATCCTTGCCTCGGCTCGAGCTCCTTGCGGCTCTGATCGCCGTCCGCCTGAAAAGGTTTCTGACTGAAAGAATGAACGTCAAATTCGAACGAGCCCTGTTTTACACCGATTCGACGATTGCCTATCACTGGGCCACATCTTCGAATCCCGGATGCTGGAAACAATTCGTCAGCAACAGGGTGCGTGAGATCCAGGCGGACTCCCGACCAGAGGATTGGTTCCATCTGAAGGGCAACTTCAACATCTCAGACCTGGCGACTCGACTAGTTTCGGCCGCTACACTTATTCAAGACCAGGAGTGGTGGTACGGCCCCAGCTGGCTACGTCTGCCGAGGGAGCGAAGGCCCCTTTCTCAACCACAACGCGAGTCCGTAGCCCTAGACCCTGTTAGTAAAGAGATGCGAGGCGTGCTCGCGGTTGTCACCACAATGGATCCGGTGTTGAAGATCGAGCGATTCAGCACGGCCTGTCGAGCGACTCGAGTGCTCGCGCACGTGCTGCGTTTCGCACATATCGCTCGTCGAAGACCAGTCCCCACACGGAGAGGACTTTATCGTCACGCCGAGTCCATCCTCATCCGGTGGTGTCAGGAGCGGTTTCTCTGCCAGGAGATCTCATCGGTCCGAGTCGGCGAGAAGGTCCCCAGCGGCTCAAAGCTGGCAGCGTACAAGCTCTTCATTGGCGACGATGGGCTTCTTCGAATCGAAACGCGCCTCAGAGCTGCTCCCCACCTCACTTACGACGAAAGAAACCCCCGTCGTCGTTCCAGGAGAGTCGCGACTGGCGAAATTGCTCGTCGTTGACGCTCACCGTATCAACGCCCATTTTGGCGTGAACACGATCCTCAATATCCTCCGCAGAAGGTTCTGGATCACCCGCGGCCGTCAAGTCATAAGGGCTGTGCTCCGTCAGTGCGTCGTGTGTCGCAAACGTCACGGTGGATCGGCCGAGCAGATCGAGGCACCATCACCCGAGTCCCGGTCGACCTTGCAGGCGCCGTTCGCAGTCGCTGGCGTCGACTTCTGCGGACCGTTCTATACAAAACAGAGAGCGGAAACCTTCAAATCGTATGTGGCGTTGTTCACGTGTACGGCAACGCGCGGAATCCACCTTGAGCTTGTCCCTTCGCTATCGACCCCACAGACTCATCTCGCAATTCGACGGTTCCTGTCAATCTACCCGGCGTGTCATCACTTCATATCGGACAATGGGACAAGCTTTGGCAAAGCGGCTACAGAAATCAAAAGGCTGTTCAACTCAACGAGGGATCCTGAGGTTCTGGAGATCCTCGACGGTCGCTCCGTCGATTGGAGTTTTAACTGTCCCCGCGCTCCATGGCGTGGCGGCTTCTTCGAGCGTTGTGTCGGCATAGTGAAGTCGGCCCTCGCCAAGACACTCGGCAAAACGCTCATAGGGTACGAAGAATTCCGGACCATTCTCTGCGAGCTTGCTGCAACTGTGAACGATCGTCCGATTTCTCATGTGGACTCTGATTGTGATGTGCCAGCAGCTCTCACCCCAGCTCATTTCCTCCGGGGAGGCCCATACGTTCCAGCGAGCGCCCCTCTCATCGCAGTCGACTCTCTTGGTGGAGACGAACTTCCCACCGAAGATGCTTTGCGAAGGGCACATGACTCAAAAACCCGTTATTTTCGCGATCTTTCGGTGCGATGGTTTCGCGAGTATTTGTTGCTGCTCCGCTCCGCCGTAGGGACCCGAGGCCGCGAATCCGCACCCTTAAGGGTTGGCGATGTTTGCTTGCTCCGCGACGATAACCTTCCGCGAGTCAGGTGGCGATTGGTTCGCGTACTGGCTGCTCATCCGGGTCGCGATGGCGAGACCCGCACATATACTGTAAAATTCGGAAACTTGCGAACGTCTCGACGAGCTGCCCAACTCTTGATACCATTGGAATTGTCTGCCGACCGGCCGGAGACGCCGTCCCCGGCGCTTCCCGAAGGCGCACAGGCCTAACGCGCGTCGGCGCTATCTTGTTAATGTAAAATAGCTAGTACGTCAAATATCGCACGGCGTTCAACTCGTAAACCCCAAATAATTGTGACATCATCCCGTACTCCTGCGAGATCTCATAGAAAATTGTGATATCGGTGCCCCCGTCAGTAGCTCATCGATAGGTTCTAGTCCTTGTGATTCTCGGCTGAGAAAACGTCACCGTTTTCGGGGGGAGTGTGAAATAACGTGTAATTTAAATGTCGCGCCAGCGCTACGTAGCAGAACGAATCCCAGAATAAACATAAGTCAGTGTCGGTCAAAAAGTGAACCGCGCATGTTCTCCTTACGAAAGTGAAGATCCTACACGAATCCAAGAGACTCAGATTCGATAAGTCCGCTCCCGATCCGACCGAAACAGTACATGGATGATGTCACTGTTGTTCTTCTGATCAAGTCATGCGGCAGAGATTCCACTCCGCTCCTTGAGTCGGAGACTGAAGTTTACCATCGATATGGCCAGGTCTCGAGGCGTTGCAGTCGTCGGCTTGTGATTAGGGCTTGCAAATACCCGACTTTTTCGAGCACCGCGGCTCCTGGTTCCTAGAGAACCGGCTGAGCGGAACCGCGGGTAAGAACCGGGAAGAACCGGAACCTCTTATGGCTATCGACGAATGGCTTTGATAAAGAAGTTCGCGCAAACATTCTGAGTTGTACGGACCGGTACGCCTTAATTTATTACCCTCGAATGATATCACAACATCACTCCATGGATTCGAAGTATTTCCGTAATGAAAAGATATTGTCTAGAGTCGCTGGTTTCATACTCGCTCTGTTTTCTCCCAGTATCAGCCTTAAGATACTAAAATCCCTCTCCGGCTGCACTGAGGTTGGGGGAATGGCTTCAAGCACCTCTTTGCACAATGTCAGACGTGGGCCCCTCCCGCCACCAGCTCTGAAGAAGTCCATCTCCATGCGGACTCTCTCCATCGAGTTTAACGAATGTCTTTCGCGGTTTCTGGCTGGAGAGGCAGACGTGTTGTATACAGCATCCCATGAGAGCTCCGCCTGACGGAGAATATTAGAGATAAGATGCATGCCAAGCCTGCAGAATTGATTTATGCAGAATCAAGCTATTGGCAAGGAGCGAATATTACCTCGGAGGTTTCCTCTTCAACATCTTCGAAAGGCAGAGAATTTCTTTGCCCGCCAACGATCTGTGCCAAGACATCATGGATGTCAGTATCGCTGGGCATCCTTTGTCCCAGTGCCGCTTCGACGTCAAACTTGAAGTTCGCATCACTGAGAAGCGCCAGGACGCTCGAGAGCAGGGTCCTACGCTTGACAACTTCGATGACGAGTCCTTCACGGAGCAACTGGGCAAGCTCTGAGCCGATCATCCGCAGGTCATTGAGAAGCAGCATAATCAACTTGTCAGCGTGGATGAGAGTTGCGTCCTCCCTGCATAGCATCAAAATTGCTCGCTTGAAGGGACTTAATGCTTGCGCGATTTGCTTCAGGGTTGATAAATCCGAAGACTTCATCGGAGTACCGTATCGTGAAAGCACATTGTTCATCGCTGGGAAGATCTCGATGGCTCTTTCGATCATCACACACGTTTAATACCATCGCGTGCGACAGTCGAGTATCGGGCGTAGTTCTCTTCCCTTATATTCGTCTCGACTGGTTACTTTCCTTATCTCGTCCATCCATAGAGTCTTCTTCTTGAAATCGCGGGCCACTGTTCTTAACCGATCGACAAATGGCCCCAGGCGGATGGTGGTCTCACCATGACAACCTTCTGCACCTGATTCGATTCCGTTTTCGGTTGCGACAATCGATTCATTGACTTGTTCGAACCCTGTCTCTTCGTCGACCTCCTCAGCGACGAGAATTCCAACATCGAAGGCTAGAGCATCTTTTCCGTAGACAGTCTTCCTCACGACCAGATCTAGTCCATGCACCAAACACTTCTGTTGCCTCATGAGTAAAGCCCGTATGTTCAAGCATGGAAACATATGCAAAATAAGCACTCAAAATAAGCGAAATAAGCGCGAATGATAAGCGAAATAAGCCTTAAAAACAAGCAAATGAAGCATTCAAAATTAGCAAAATAAGCGTTTAGAATGGGCAGAATAAGCATTCAAAATGAGCGGAATGAGCACTCAAAATGAACAGAACAAGATAAGATTTCGAAATAAGCGGTGATACGGTTTATTGATATCAATCGCCTAGAATTAGTCACGATCATTGCAAGAAATGGCCAGCATCATCTTTAAATTTTCAAAAAGAGGCATTGACGTCGGTCATTCAGCATGTGCTTTA